TAGCCTTTAATATTAATATAACTTCTTTGTTTATAAATATGTTATATGTGCGAAAATTATTCCTTTGAGATGTTTAAGATGCTTCGAAAGTTTGCTATCAATCTCATTAAAAGTTTTAAACATGTTTAACAAGGAATTTTTGAATAATTATTACTTATTGGATAAAATCCTAGGGTAACTAGTGATTCCCATTAAAAATAAGGGATTATCTATACATATGATTATTTGAATACTGAGGTACTAAACTTCATAAAAATCCTTTAAATACTTAAAAAAAATGGCGAATGCGTCGTGATTAATTATAACTTAATTTCAAAAAAATCTTTTTAGAATAGATAGATAGATTGAAGTTGAAATGAATTAAATAGTTATTAGATAGGTTTGGAGTATATAATAGTATATTTTAATTTAATTTAGTGAGTGCTTAGAAAAGTTTATAAACAAGTTGCATACTATACTTTTTTACGACAGATACTTAATATTATCTTAAAAATGATTTAAATTAAATATTTGTATAAAGCGACATCTATACGAAAACGCACTTTATTTTAACGATTGTTCAACTAACTTAAAACTAACTTCATCCAGTGACTAAAAACCTGTTGCTCGTAACTAAAACGCATGCCAATGTGTATGGACGATAATGAGCGTAAAGGTTGTAGTAGAAAAACCTTGTTTATTGTATGCATTTACGTGCATAAAATTCGCTGTTATTTAATATTTTGAAAAGTTTTCTGTGATTTTATTATTTTTATTTGATGATTGATCGTACTCGTATTATATGAAAAGGTTGTTAGCAATATAAATAAAGTAGCTGTGTCTTTTTAAAGCAAACATCAATTATTTTAAAACGACGATAAACAAGAAATATTGTAATAATAAAGCGTTGGGTGACCTGTTTCTGACATTTTATCCCCTTGTTCATATCCATATTAAAATCTTTTTGCTTATACGTTTATAGCTACAAAAATAAATTTAATCTTTATGTTGTTCTAAATGACCGTAAATACCAATGGTTTTTCCCACTAGTCCAGCCTTGTTAAATGACATTTTGATTTTGTCTGACCAGGTTCCACCCTAATATTTATATATGCTCTGTGTTGTCGGTTTTTGGTTCTTAAAAGAACCGTATGTTTGACGACGTTTCCGTACAATCTCATGTACTATCTTCAGGTCTTATATGCGGCAGCAATAGCAGCCCAGCAGATAAGACCTGAAGATGGTACATGAGATTGTACCGAAACGTCGTCAGACATACGGTTCTTTTAAGAACCAAAAACCGACAACACAGAGCATATATAAATATTAGGGTGGCCCAAAAAAAAAAGAATATTTTTTTTCTCGTCTCTTGAGAAACTATGTTGGTATGTCATGTTTTAAGAGCCCTGTCAAAAGATCAGCTCCATTAAAAAAAATTTAGGGGTCGCTCAAGATTTTTAAAAATTTCGTCAAAAATTGGATTTTTTTTTTATTTCAATTTTTTTTCTCGTTCCGATATTATTTTTAAATTTGAAAGTAATAATGATACTGAAAATTTAAATCGATATTTTGGTTTCTAAAGGTCGCTCAAGATTTTTCTTAACTTTCAAAGTAGAGTATTTTGAAGCGACCTCTGAAAATAAATATCAACGAACTTTTAGCGACCTTTAGAAATCAAAATATTGATTTGAAATTTACAGAATTTTTATTATCTTCAACCTAAAAAATAATATTGAGATTTTTAATCGAGCTGATTTTTTGACAGGGCTCCTACAGCATGATAAACTAACATACATATTTTTATAAGAGACGGAAAAAAAATATTCTTTTTTTAAGAAGTTTTTTTATGTGAGAAATAATTTATATTTTGCCAAAAAATAGTTAGATATATTGAGTATAGTGTATATTGATCTTGTAATATTAGATCGTCAGTGTGGCAAAACACGTGTTAAAAGACATTATGCCCCAATCTACATCTTTCGTCTATGACATTATAGAGTGCCATTCTTGAGAGGCAGTTCGCATACCAAGTAGCGGCGGTTCTTCTTAATTTAAAGCTGTTAAGATTCAGGAAAATGTGGAAACTTTAACCGCCCAATATCATTAATTTATCACTGGCAAGTTTATCTTTTTTATTACTTGAAATTCCAGGACGCGCGCTAGGAATTAAATCGCACAATTAAAAGTTCTACCAATTTCGAGCGAGTTAAAAATCAAATGTTGACGTGGATTAATAAATAAAACAGGTTTATTGAAAGCCTTTGCAACAGAGGGAAAATCGTGGAATAACAATTTTAAGCACAAATTTTCTTATTTACCGATGTTTGAAATTTTTAAAAGCTTCGAGTAATAAATGGGCTTTGGGTAACTCAAGTTTTATTGAATGCCGTTTTGGTTTTATTGCTCGCCAAATGTTTTCAAACTAAATCGGTTATATAGAGGAATAACAGAAAACAGTTAGTAATATACTTAAATGGGGTGTGAAAAAGATGTAAATGATTATTTTCCCAATCTACTAGACGTATTAGTTATTTATCCTCGTCCCGACAGGAATATTAGATAACGTCAGAAAATCAGCGATAGGAAATAGTTTAGAAATTGAACTGCATGAATTATAAAATGGACTTGGATGGAATTTTGAAGGCCTTAAACGGACATTAATACATCGATCGAAATTGTAATTACCCTCACAAAATATCGCATTAATAATTTTAACATGAAAAGATTAAAAGTTACGCAAAAACTCGCAATTTATTTAAGTGCAAGATGAAATAGTATATAAAACTTATATAAATTTGGCACCATTGCATCCAAAAGATTTTGGAAAATTCCCATGTTCTGTGAATTTCTGGAAATTTGGCAGCAGCGCTAGAATGTGCAAGATGACTAACTGAAGGTATCCTGAGGATTTTGAAAAATTTCCAACTTCTGGGATTTTTTTGTAAATTTGTCAACGTCCTCGGTTCTGGGCGCCCTGATTCGCCCCCTGGCTACGGCCCTGTCTCTCAAACTTAAATAAAATAGTCAGCTTTGTAGATTTATTACTTAATTTAAGTAAATGTGTCGTTAAATTAACCTTAAAAAGTGTCATTACTTTTTATTATGAATTTTTTATTCTCTGTTATAACCATAAAGTTTCGCAGTAAGTATTTAAATGATGCTTATTTAACGTAATTTTTACCAAAGAATATTATTTAAAGGGATTCTATAAGGTAAATTTAATATAAATATTTTCACTCTAAACTAAATTTTACTTTACTACGAAAAAAAAATTGGGTCTTGGATTTGGGTGAAAAAATTCATACTAAAAATACTCCTAAAGTTTCAGATTTTTAAATTAATTTTTAACCTGAGCCCCGACCACTATTACAAACAAAAATCAGAAAAAATACTAAAAAAGTGAGAAAAAATCATATTTTTTCAAACGGTTTTTTTTCTTACTTTTAGACTCTTCTAAAGGTCCTCCCAAAGTTTCAGATTTTTAAATTAGTTTTTAACCTGAGCCCCGACCACTATAACAAACAAAAATCAAAAAAAAATCCTAAAAAAGTATGAAAAAATCAACGGGTTTTTTTCTTACTTTTAGACTCTTCTAAAGGTACTCCCAAAGTTTCAGATTTTTAAATTAATTTTTAACCTGAGCCCCGACCACTATAACAAACAAAAATAAAAAAGTGGGAAAAAATTATATATTTTGTCTCAAACGGGGGTTTTTCTTACTTTAAGACTCTTCTAATAGTATATTAAAGAACTAATGTCATAAGACGTCATTTTGTCGCACGCGGACAATTTATATGGACGAGTGCGACAAAGGTTCTTTATGCTATTTTATCTATTTTGCAAAAATTCTATAAAAAAATTAATTTTATAGGTACCTTAAATTTAATTTGATCGAATTTTACTTTAGATAGTTGATATCATAGTCATTGGTTTGACAGTTAATCGATTCGCCATGCTGTCCTTAATTTACTTATTAACAATAAGCGGCTGTTAATGTTAAAGAAGAAAAAAAGGATTTTCTTTGGTGTTAAACAAAATTTATTGCCAGAAAAGTCTCGTAAGTACTAGAAAAATCATAAAAATATTATAACCAAAATGCAAAATATTATGCTGTTTAAAGTATAGCCAACCTATAAAATCAAAATTTTGGGTGGGATAAAGTATCTCATTACAGCACCGAAAGCGGTGTTATAATGAAGTCAATATGAACGCAAAATAGATAAAGGTACTTTTAAAGTTTCAGATTTTTAAATTAATTAATGCTGTGTTCTAGTTTTATTGCCACATCCTATAAGAATAAAAACTTCAATTCTCTGTGTTAAATAACCCATATTTAAATACTTCGAAATATTTGGAGAACGCTTAAGAGACAGATACTTCACAAAAGTTCTTAGATCTAGTAGTGAATATTTGTTTTAAATTATATGCTAACAAAGAAAAACCTCGATATATAGACACGTTGAAATGAAATATTTTAAGAAAGTTTATGAAACATTTCGTCTATAAACACTTATTAAAAACTATAAATTTTTCACTTTTAATAATTAATATCTCCGAAACTATCAGCACTAAAGGTATAAAAAAGAGGTTTACGATTAGGTCAGAGATTCTACACTACTTTTGCCGGTTACTGTATATAAATAAATGGGAATGGGAAAATATATTTAGGGGTATTGTGTTAAATTAGATTGGAAAAATGTAGTTGAATGTGGCAATGAAAGTATTAAATAGAATAAAATAAGAATGGAAGATCGTTTGTGTGTGGTTTGGTTAAATGCTTTTGATTTGTTAAAGTGGTATGGGTATAGGTATAAAAAAGGAGAAGCAGCGTCGGCTGGGTTAACGTTAACACGAAAGGCAGTTATAGATTGTAGTATTCATAGTAAAGTATTCGATGTCCACGTCATTGGTGCGATTGTAAGAATAGAATAGAGTTAAAGTTGAGGGTGGCGCGCAAACCGGACGTTAGAAACGTAACGGCGTCGCGGCGCCACGCGGTTAGCAGCGCGATGAATCCAGGCGCAATATCCCACTCGCCGTTGCACGTTGCCCTAAGCCGAACACACTATTCCTCGCGCCTCAATCCATCCGCACGGTGCCGGTGAATCCCACGAGCTCCACGTACATGTGCCACAAGAAAAACCCCGAATAAGTAATTTTTCTCGATCGGATTTTCCGATTGAAATGTGAGGTTCCTGCGGCCGCTTACAAGCGGTGTTATGTGCGGTGTTTGGATTGCTTTTTGGCTATTAGCCACTTCGTCGGTGCTTAACGAAGTTAAATCCAGCGAGTTTCCCGAAAGAGAATGTTGCGACTTGCCATCGCCTCAGCCTACCGTTCCTCCGACGACCGCTCAAGCAACTCTTTCCACTGCAAAGCCAGGTAACATTCAGATTTTCCCTGCCATCATCCATCACAATTACCATCGACATCCGGTTTCTATCACTGAAAATCCAATCCATCTATCTTGTTCGTTTATTGCTAGACCGTTTATCAAACGGCTCAGATACTTCTTCTTCGTCTTATTTGTCTCTCCCTGAACACTTTACAACAATTACAAAACCCCCAACCATCAATTCCTTCCTACCCTCCAAACATTTCAATATAATATTACAGGATTATCCGCTAACACACTTATATCAAATAATTATTGAAAAAGATAGTATATTTATTATTTATGCATTATCTTTTTCCCTACATTTCAGCATTAATCTTCCGGTATGATTTTCAATTATCAACAACATACTGCGTTACAGTAAAACAGATTTATCGCGCTGCCAAATAATTTCGGCCGTACAATGTTATCTATACAGATAAACACAACCAAAATATATATAATTTGCCTAATTTGGAGGAATATATGGGCGATAAAAATACATTCATCAAATGCCTGCTACAATCAACCCGGGGTAAATAATTTAGTCGGGATCGGGTGACGTAATTTAGGGACGACTTCTAAACAGTCACAAAATGTGACATCTTATAAATTTTGAATTGCGATTTCAAATGCATTACCGCCTCGCTCTTCTGGGTATTCTTTCCGAAAAATTGGGGCGACTAAAAATTATTCCAAATCCGTTTTTACATTATCTTCCAGCAAACATATTACGTTACTAAAAACACACTAGACCAAACATTCTCCTGAGATAACATGCATTTTTTAAACCGTTTTAAATAATTTTCATTTTAAATATTTGCCATGCAGCTTTAAGCTGAAGCGCTTTTTGCTAATCAATTTTCATTAGCACCATTCAAAACAGACAACCCGTAAAACTATTTACCAAAATAATTATTTTGTCAATATGTATACAGTTGAAAAAACTTAACGTTTTGTATGTTACACCCTTAAAATTATTGACTTTTTCTCTACCTGTCAAAACTAAGTATTATTTCATGCAAGGAAAATGATTAATGAACTCAAATCGCAATAAACTTAAGTGCCTTTTTTATTATAATAAAATAATAAAATGTTTGCTAAATCATGAAAGGAAATTTTCTTTACGAAAATTGTTTCCTAAGTGGCATTTTTTGAATACGTTACGCCTAATTATATATTTTTGACATTTTTACCTGCTTTAAAAAATTCATTTAAATAAACCATTAAATAGGTTTTTAAAATTTGCTATAGTAAGCAGCCTGTTTCGGTCTTTTGGACCTCATCAGTACCGGGTAGCCGTGTAGTGTGAGGCACACTGCCATGACGCTTTAAAGAAATCGGATACATCGACAGCGGTGAGCGCAAGATAATATTAATAATAATATTTATTCACCACATAAACCCCACACAAATAAATATAGAGTAGAATAAAATAATTAATAAAATACATACAAAGTTAAGTTAACTTGTGTGGGGAAATAAATACAGAAAATACACATATATTTATAACGTAATTAAAGTTCAAAACAAATTTCTAGTATTATGGCAAAAACAACGTAAATAACATTAACAATAGTAAAACTATATACAAAAGTTAAACAACAGAACCAGTAGTGTCTTAAATGTATTTCAGCAGCGGTTATTAATTAATTTATATATTGAACTTTCTGACGTGTGAATTAGAAAATCTCTTAGTTGTTTTTTAAATTACTTAATAAAAGTAATAAAATTTAAAAAAAAACGGAAAAACTGGTAAATTTTTTCATTTTTTAAATTTTACGAAAAAATGCAAAAGTTTCCCAATTTTTACTGATAATATCAGTAAAAATTGGGAAAAAGCGATTAGAATAATCTGTGATTTAAAAACAAATGAGAGTTGTAGAGAACATTTTAAAAATCAAAAAATACTTACAATTCCATCTATATTTATTTTGGCAGCAATAAAGTATGTATATTTAAATTCAGACGAATTTGATAGAAATTCTGAAAATCACACCTACAATACTAGGCACATGAACTTTTTCCAAATTCCACTTCACAAAAGCAAATTGGCACAACAAAGTATTCACTATTGGGGACCGAAACTGTTTAATCATCTTCCAGAATCAATAAAAAAAATAAAGAATCCCAAAGCTTTTTCAAAATCTGTGAAAAGTATTTTAATCCAAAATTGTTATTATTCTTTAAATGAATACTTAAATACTAATTTTAACTTTCAATGTTTATAAATATGTTTTGTTGTTTATATTATATGTACATACCGTTTTTTTAATATGTTTTTTATACCTATAGCTATGTTCATTTTATTTTTTTAATTTTATATACATATGTACCTGACGTTTAATGTAATGTTTATTACTTAATAAATGTATCTATCTATCTATCTATCTATCTATGAATCATTCATTATTTTGTAGTTGGATATTTTTATATTTCACGTTTACTTTTATTTTCTTAAATCAATTTAATTTAATTCATGTTTAGTTTTATTTTTTTCGTAATAATAGATATTTTTTTTATTAAAATAATGTTAAGTTGTTGAATGCTATTTTTTCAAATGTGTATGTGTTTTTTCCGACATTTTAAAACCCTACCCGGCACTGATGAGATCAAAAAGACCGAAACTGTTCTCAAATATTTGGGGTAGAAAAAAAGCAATTCAATTTCAAGGAAAACGGTAAATATTGAAATAAATCTAAAAACAATTGGAAGAAGAAAAAATCTTTAATCTATTTTATTATTATTCTGTTATTCACTCAACAAGGGCAAGAAATTTTGTGATCCTTAAGTTTTGTTGTTTGGTATTTAAAAATCATCGAATTTGAAACTTAATAGTATACTATGTATTAAGTTTGATAAACGCCATTTTAGCTTGCGATCGAGTGCTTAATTAAATGAGTGCCTAGAAAAGATTATAATATTTATTATCTTAAAAAGTAACCATCCCAATAAACATTTTTGACTTAATTTTCACCATTTAGATAATATTAAGTATTTGTCGTTATTAGTTTAATTAAACTTAACAATTATTGATATTTTAAAATATTAAAATAACTTTAAAATATGATTAAATTAAGAACATATTTTATCCTTTGATTTTTTTCTAATACTATAATTGCAAAATATTATCACAAAGTATAAATTATTACACGGAAAATGTGAAAGGTACAAAAAGTGTTGTGTTTATTGGAATTCCCGTTAGAATTTCTAACTTGGGTTGGAAAATTGTTCTGTGTAAATCAAAATTTATCCCTATTTTGATAACAAAAGTAAGGAAAAGGTGAAAACGGTGGCGAATGACGTAATAATTATGAAAACCGATAACAAGTAGGTGTAAATAGTTTGGCAAGTGGCCTTTTCTGGTTTAGAATAGTGGAAAACGGTTTTGTGAAGTACAATTAGCAGTTTCCACAAAACACTTGAACATAATTTATAATCGTATATAGAAAGTTCGTGTCTTGAGCAGGCAGCTCCTTGTTCAAACTAATTATGTTAATAATTTGAGCCCAGCATAAAAAATTCTACTTAATTGATCGCGGTTAGGTGGTCTAGATTCTTGTTATCTGTTCGAGCTATGTGCCAAATTGTTTACTGTCAGACCAACGCAAACTTTAGCCAAACTTTGCTGACTTTAAAATGCTGACTCGATTTCACAACCATGCATGCAATGTCCCACTATATTGTTCAATTTTACAGCCCAACGTTAACTTCTTATCAAAATCCAATGCACCTCGGCACCTTTGACATTTATTCGCTACACTTAAATTTATCGCCCTAGAACATTGATTGTTTTATTAAAATCAAATTTTAACAGTGTGTACAACTTTTTGCTTTGCATCTCCCTGATAATCCCTACACAAAAGTGTATTTTGTACGATCTCATCGTGTGTGCTCCCCATCACGTGGCTGCCGGCACTGATGAGGCACAAAAGACCGAAACAGGCTGTCTATTGGTGCCTGTTGGTGAAGTACACTCCAAACAAATTATTATTATTATTATTCAAATTTTTATCAATATTATTTCCGGACTTGAAGAGCGTTTTATAAATTAAGGTAGGATAAATAATTGAACATATGTATAGTCTTTATAGTAATTGTTGAAAATTGTTAATCTCTGGAACTCGTAGGCTTAATGGAAAGCTTGAAACAATTCCAATAAAATGGTTTGATGGGCTCTACCGAAATCCTATTATCGTAACAGTAATGCAATTTTATCAGAGTCTTCGGCACTTTAATTAGTAACAGCAAAAAGATATTAATTACATTTCCAAACTTCCAATACGTGGTCCAGACTGGATGGTTGTGTGTGTGTGTCCTCGATTTTCTCTCAAGATTCATTTGCTCCCTTTTTCCCGATTGTATTTTATCCCCCTTCACATCATAAACGGTGAAAACAGATTTATTTTAGACAGAGTGTCCCAGCAGTTTTTACATTTACTGCTGATACTGCTAATTAAAGCTGAAGTTTGAAGAAAACCCATAACAACAAATCGGTTTCGGTGGAAAGCATTTTATTAAATACTGCCAATTTATCATTTTGTTTGTTCTCGAGTTTAAAATTAAAGGGGATTTATGGAAGAAAAACCTTTTTCCATTTGCAATAAATCAAAAAATCTGTTAAATATTTGCCAATACCATTTTTATAGAAATTTATATGCCTATTTGACCACATTTCCAAGCACGTTTCCTTAATATTTCATACATCAGAAATCAATACAAAAATTGACCATGTACTAAACTATTAATCTACTATTTAGCCCATTAGTTATGTATGATCCTGCTGCAACATAGCTGCATAGGGCTTCCAACAAATATACCCTTGTCTTGGTGGTAAATAATTTTCACTCAATTTTCCTAATTATTATATCGCATGTAAATGCCATCGACTTTAATGCGTTGTTAAGTTTAAGATAAAGTTGCGTGCTAAAAAAATGGTTTAATTTAAAAGTAATAAACATACACTTTAAAAATTCAAATTGGGTCAGTTTTTTTATACTTAATAATC